TCAAGTTTAGAAAAAAAAAAATCTGAAAATTTTAAAATTTGTTGGACTAGTACCACCTTAATAAGTTTTTATAAAGGAAATCGCAGGTTCAAAATGAACCAATTTACCTAATACTAATAAAATAAGTAAACTTTTGTATGATCGAGAATAGATAAAAAGCATAATTATATGGGGAAATCCATTTCTAACTTACGTTACATGCACAACAACTTTATCAAATACTGCCTATTTAAACTGTTAATTAAACTTTTAGCTGTTTTGTATGAAAGCTGTTAATTTTGCGCTATTTCTCAAAGGTAGCGAATGTGAAACCCTAACGCACAGTGGTTTAAATGGTGGACATGAGTAAAATTTAATTTTTTGAAAATAAAATTTAACTTAAATAGCATGCAGATTTAAGCTATAAAAAAAAAGTTAAATTTTTGTCTATTTAAAAAGTTACGGCCATGCAAACTTGAACAATTTGGAAGAAAAAACAAACTTTAAAACCCAACAGTGTTTTTGAGTATCACTCGGAAAAAAGTGATACTTAAAACTACATCATAACAACAAATTACTTTTACGTGTATAAGTAACTAATTAGCATTATTTAGCTTACATAAAAATAATTTGAAAAAAATTGTTTTTTACTTTTACAAATAAAAGTAATTTTTTTTTTGAAATTTTATACTTTACTTTGTAAGTAAGTAAAATGTAAGTTACATTATTTACTTTCTTAAAGAACAGTCATTTAATGTTGGTTTAACGTAAATATTGAGGTAGGTAGCGTATTCAAATCCATTTTCTGTTTGAGAGCACTTCTGGGTACTACTTCAGGTATGTGGGCAAGTATGTGGTGGGGCATCAGGAAAATTTTTTTTTTTTTTTACGTATCAGAAAGGGTAGTTCTTATATAATTAGAGGCAAATATAGTCATGCGGGAATAACAGTGGTGTAGAGACGGGAACCCTGCCGCATGAGTGCTAATAGAAGCTGGTAAATAATCATTGATTTTTTATTTATTTTTGTTTTGTTAAGTAGAAATAGGTTAGTGGCCATAATGAAACTTTGTCGGGCGAGGAAGGGAGCATAATTTCTTATCTATGGGTAATTCATGCATGTGTAAACCCTGACTAAGTCACTGTTCGTTAGAGCGCGCTTTTTCTCCAGTTTTTTATTTGTATTTGCCTTTTCAATCAAGTATTTTGTTATGGTAATATGACGCAATATAATATTTTTGGTACCCGCAAGGACATCGACTGCTACAACAGTTTTCAAAAAATTATAAGTCATTTAAACTATAAGTTATAATTTATATGATTAAAGGAGTTTATCAGATATAATCTTTTATTGCGTTTTATCATATATAATGAAATTGTATTGCGTTTTATCATATATAATAAAATTTCTATTTGAAAAATGATGGTAAGAAAAGCTGTTTAATCTTCTAATATAGGTTGTGGGCACCCTAATAACCTACTTTTTGTTGCGTTGGTGTCCAACCCGCACAAGAACATTAGGACAAATAAAATCTTATTCAATTAAAATAGCGCTTTAAAATAAACTTGTAATTTTTTTTTTCAAACTTTATTTTGACTTTACAAGATGTTTGTCGGCTATCAGTTGTCCCGGAATCTTGCGATTGATTTTTCACTACCTTCCGGACTAGCTAGAGCTCTGAAACTTCCAGCATATGTGTAAATTTAATAAAAGTAAATCTTAAAATTGTTTTCAGAGCCAACTGGAGAACTCCACTTTATGGAATCTCTTTTTTTTTATAATTATTTTACTTTATCTTTTAGATTTTACTTTGATCTTACTTTATCATGACATCATTTGGGTAGCCTTAATAAAATTGCATGTTAAATTTGTTTCCTGCAAAGAGGGTTGTACCCTTTATTTTTTTCTCTAATATTTTGTTTTTCTCTAGTAATTGAGGTCTTTAACTTTTTAGAAACAATGATTTTTGCAAAAAACCTTTAAAAAGGCATTTTTTTTTGGTTTATTTGTTTTACTATTAATTTTTTTGTCGGGTTTAAATAAGTTAATGGCCCTGATAAAAATTTACCATAAAAGACTCGTGCATATTTGTAGCTATGCTGCTGCTTTCTGCTTCTCTTAATCAGTGTGGTTGTTGTTAACGCTAATGCGCTAACTCAAATGCATATATAACAGTTTAGGGTGTAATACCCCCTTCACCACCCTGGTTCTGGTTGTAACAACCACTCCAACAGAAATGAAATTTTTTTTTGTTTTTATTATTTATTAATATCTATTCATAAAACTGTTGTCTGGAATTAACTAATTTCAAATAGTCTATTCCAAACATTAATTATTCCTTTATTATTCTATTATCTAACAATTATTCTAGCTAGTCATTTCAAGAAATAACTTTGATTTTGGTTAGATTGGTTTTTAACAACAACCACGCTGAATAAAAGAAGCCAAAATGCAAAACTTAGAACAAAATTGCAAAATGCAGAGCCATTTCCAAAGCAATTACAATAAATCAGACAGTCTTTTAAAAAAAATATTTAAATAACTGATGTAAATAACATTAAAAAAGTTAAAGTTAAAATAGTAAAAGTAACTATAAAATTAACTTAAAAAAAATCTATAACTTTTCTTTTCTTTCGTTTAAGTTCTTTCGCTTAAGTTACTTCTTTCTTTGCGATGAATAAAGTTAGCAACACTAAATGAGGATTCTGGCCGTACCGAACTAGCAGGTGAAGTACATACCTTACTTGCTTTAGAGGCTAACATTGGAATATCGTTTTCATACTTGTACCAAAATTCATCGAATTTCCAAGTTTTTGCTTTTATAGTATAATTGAAAAAGGATAACTCCTTTTTTTATATTTCGCTTTGACTGTGTTTTTTCTTCGCACAGATTGAAACCACACAATGTTGCAAGCTTAGCAAACTCATTTTTGCGTTTAACAGGAACTTAAGGTGAAACATGAAATTGAACATCATTACTAGAATCAATCATATCTAAAGATGAAAACAAGTATTTATATTAGCTGAAATGTAATCTATTTTTTAACAGCACTGAAAATGTAAAAAAAGTAAAATTTTTATATAAATTTAAAAACAAATGTTTTTTAACAAACATAAATTTTAGGTTTATAACTAACCACTTCTCGAATAATTTTGTTCATTTTGCAAACAAATGTTTGTATGCGTTGATCTTCGAGGATATTGTCGGAGAGCTAACTTTGCAAATTTTTTCATAAGTTTTCTTTCTGCTTCTTGATATTCTTTTTCTGTAAGACACTCGTTTGTTCTCGGATCAAAGAAACATGCTAGCAAGATGTCTACAAAACAAAAGCTTTGCAGCTTTTGTTTTGTAGACACCTTTTCAACAAAGTATACTTTCATGAACTTGAGAAGACTAGCTCGTAACATGTTCTCTCTTTCCACCGTAGGAGATGGTTGTAAAAGAAAACATTTAGTTGAAGATTCTTTTTCAAGAAAGTTCATTAACGTATTTTGGACGAATTTTGCTGAAGAAAGTGTTGGAAAATTTTTAGTAGAGAGAAGTTTAATGGAGCAAGGTTATAATGTAAAATGTCTAGGAACTTCCTGTCACCTGATAACAAAGCTAGTTTCTTGAGTTTATTAATCTGTTTTTCTGTTAACCCATCGATAGTGCCAGGATCTATTGTAATTTTATTATAAGCATTTTTCGCTTTTATTATCTTACTAATCATCAAAAACGTTGAGTTCCAACGTACATGAAAATCTGACGAAAAGTTTTTTAATTTTAGTCCCTGCTTCTTAATCTCTCTAAAAACAAATGATTGCAAAACAGAAGATTGTTTAACATTAGCTATCGTCTTTCTTAACCTGAATAATAAGCTTGATAAATAAATGACCCAGTGAGCACAGGACGTTTTTAAAACGTTTAAATTCCGTTCAATTTACGGTCAGACGTTTAAAGAACCAATACAATCGTTTTTAAAACGTTTTTTTGTAAACGTTTTTTTTAATGTTAATTTAAACGTTTTTTAAGCGTTTTTTAGGCGTTTTTTTTTTTAACAACACGAAATTTCTCAGTTAGCTTAAGAATTCTTAATTTAAAAAAACGTACACGGCAATATTTAAAGAGTATGTTTACGCAAATAATGGCGCGACCTTCGACTAAGCGAAGTGATTTATTTAAGTAAATTATATAAAATAACATATCTTTAAATCAACCAAGTGTTTGTATTGTTCTTGGAGAATTAAATTTAAAAATATTTTGGAGTATTTTTAGATTGTCTTTGTTAAAACTAGGTTGTGTTTGTATTTCTATTTGAGTCAAGTAGATATGATTAAAATAATAAAGTTTTTATGGTGTGGTTATTTAGATTAAATAGCTCAATTGCTGAGTAAACTTGATTGCTAAAGAAACTAGATTAAGTTTTTAATTCTACTTGATTATCAACTGCTTTTAATGCAAAAAAGTTCATTTGGATTTGAGAAAAGGGAACAACATTTTTCAGAGTTTTTCTTCTTCAACTCTAAAGAAGAAAAACTAAAATGTAATAATATCAGTGGTTTTTATAAGGAGTTACTACATTTAAAAAGGCTGAAAGGAAAAAATATGATGATTTGTTTCAAGAAAGTAAGTGATTTAGTTCAAAATGTCATCTTAAGATTTTTAATCTTTAATAATATTATGGTGTTATTATCAAATATTTGGCTGTATGAAACCTATAATATTATATACAATATTATATACCCTATTTTACTTATAAAATTAATATTCTGTAAAGTAATTTGTAAAAGATTTTTAATTGTAAAATTTCTACATGAGAAATCAAGTTTTTAGATAAAATTCAATTATTCTCTATGCTTGTGTCCTGTAGGTTAAAAAATAATAAATAAAGATAGTATTGATTGTGATGACCAAGAGATTCATTTTAAGACAGATCAATCTTCATCATCTTAAATCATCATCCATTATCTCAAGCAAGTAAGTCTTTAGTTAAAAATAATAATGTAATGTTAGTTGTAAAATGCTAACACGACTGTCA